GGAGAGGCCACCATATGGGATGTTTGGATGTTTAAGATGGCTAAGAGCATTTGCGAGGAAACCTACGTACTCGGTAAAACACAACAAAAACTGAATCATTTAATGACAACACAATTAAGCCTGAATACACAATTAAGCCTGAATAAAGGATGCTGAATGTGTTTTGATATTTGTGGAAATTCATGCAAATAGTTGGTTTCTGTAGGTCTAAGCGAGAAGAAGCCAAGATCTCAGCTTGGGAGAACCTCCAGAGAGCGAAGGCCGAAGCAGAGATACGAAAGCTAGAGGTACTTGCATTCACCTTCCCTGATAAATGTCCAGTAGGGTTGTGTCTACAGTGATGTGAATTTCTGATTTTCATGAAAAATAAAACCAGATAACCATAGGCCATTCTTCTGGATTTTGCACATATTTATTTGAATAATCCAACCTAAGTTCTTTTTGGTAAATGAAAAAGACGAGGTTTGCTTCTTTGGGCCTCTCACCTAAACTGAATTCTCTACCACCAAGCTGAAGCCTAGGGGACAGAATCGCTAACCTTAAGAGTTCATCGACTTTCTGAACAATTTGTGCACTCTGTTTTAAAAGGAAGACAAAATACAAAGATGAATAATTAAATAAAGAAAATCACCTTATAGGATCATAATGATTATCCAGTACAATACATTCACAGTGCTTTATGTTCGTACTTTTTTGCAGATGAAATTAGAGAAGATGAGGTCCTCATCCATGGAGAAGATCATGAAGAAATTGCAGTCAGCTCAAAGGAAGGCTCAAAAGATGAGGATATCAATCTCTTCGACAAAGGCCCAAAAGGCAGCCAAAACAACGCAAAAAACCACCACAATACGGAGGACACCACAGATAGCTTCTCTAAGCGGATGTTTCACATGTCATGCCTCCCCCTAACTGCTGATGCTGGTTGGTAAGTACGTACAAGTCCTAAGCATTTCGATGCTCATCGAATATTCCAAGACAACACTTAGAAGAACTGCATATATTACTGAAGCTTGAATGAATTACATTCACTGCACAAAAACATGTAGGAAACATATTTGAAAGCTAGAGCTCTAATTAGACTTTCTTCTGGCCATTATACGGTTCCCTTGTAGGCCATGACCCCTGCATATGCTTCTCTCAAATCATCAATCTGCGTTTGGTGAAATATAAGGAATCACTTGGCATTAATGCAATAAAATTTCCTAGACCCTGGATCCAATGCAGGACATCGACTTTTTTCATTTTTCTGGGTCAGGTGCAGATATCTGCATGGATGGTCTTGCCATCCTCAATCAACATGAGAACGCTGGACATGGCTGCATACAGATATGGTACTAATGTTGGTGGAGCGCACCTTGGTGCAAAACATTCAATCAAGAGCTCCATATGAGACTAAACAATTCGGCAGTCATCATTTAAGTATAGATATAGGCGTTTGATTTTGTTTTGATGGGAAAGCGGGTAGTTTGCTTCTCTCTCTCTCT